AGCATATACCCTTGGACATAGGTGAGTATTCGCATATCTGGACATTTTATATGCATAGAGGAACATTAACACGAGTCAACATGTAATAGTAATATTTAGGATTTTTATTTTTATTTTTCCGAGGCTTTATACGGTGCGATCGGCCGCCGCCGTTGAGGACAGTGAGCGCGGCATTCCTGACGGCGATGACGCTCGAACAAAGCACCTAAGTGATGGCGCGTATAGGCTAGCTCGATTGTATGATGTTGATGAATTTAATGAAATTTATTCCATATTTTTATGACTACATACAAGTGCTATAGCTATGCTCATCGTCGGCGACGACGACGACGGGCCTACCGACGAGGTGCCGGAGAGGCGGGACGCAGCCTCGAAGAAGCGGCGCGCCTGTGTCACCAGACACGTGGCGGTACGCCTAGGGTTGGGGTCTGCTACCAGACTTCTACCCGGACCGCGGCCGGAAGCGGCAAGGGCATGCTGGTCGTCGGGGAAGACAGCGAGGACGGGGCGTCGAGCAGAGTAGCGAACGGCCTTATTATACTAGTGTAGGCGGTGACGTGTACTGTATGTAGACCGATGCTCGAGCGTTGAAGTCAAGGGGGACGCGGTGGGGTACCCAGGGGGGGCGTTCAGGTGGGGTGGCAAAATAAGGTTTTCAAGACCCCTTGGTCTCGCGTCTTGGGGCGTAGTCCCAAGTCTAACGGGTCTCGCTTTTGGTGCCACTCGGGTGGGTGTATGGGCCTGTGCGTCGTTGCAGACATAATAGCTATTCATGATCGTTTTTAATCCCATTGTGGGGGCTCCCTCTGAGACGGACCCGATGTCGTAGTATAAAGCTCAAGCTCTTCCTGCAGCATAGGACATTGCATCACCACCATGTTCCTCTCCGAGATCTCTCGCATTCTCGCAGATAGCCCGGAGCTATCGAATGTACTCACTTACGATGATCTGACCCGTTTTATCGATATCGTGCGCTGGAAGAGGGAAGATATTGCATCAGTACAACCCTCCTTCATCTCCGGACCGCCCGAATACCTGCCCACAGCTTACCATCACTTCTTTGCTGCTGCGTTTTCTCTTGGCCAAGACGAGGTGCAGCTGCTGTGGACTAAACTTCGCATACTAGCATGGGGATCCGAGGACGATACCCAAGATGGGGAGCTAGAAAGTCGAGCTAAAGCCCTTATTCCCCTATTCTTGAAGCATGCACTTCAGTATGATATCGGTGAGTGCAATCACATGGTACAAATCCTGTAGACTGATCCAGGGACTAGGATTCTACAACTTCCGGCCACCCGCTCGCGTATGCACCGATTCGCATTGCGATCGAGAACTGCGATCTATGCCGGGCATTTTCAGGCCCCGCGAACTAACGGAACCACTATCCTACAAGGCTGTCTACTTCTCCAAGGATCTTGGACCTATGCCAGTCTGGTGCACCTCACTGTATTGCCGCCGTGCGTGCTTTTCCTTGCGAAATCCCTCAAATGCTGATCAGATCGGTTCATAGACTGTAATACCCGATACTATCCCAACTTCTACGTCCACGACAAAGCAACTACACGGACATATTACCGGGGCATTCCTGATGTCATCCAAAGTGCCCAGCATGCTTTCTTTTCTCGTGATCTCTGCGAGCTTTTCGCTACGCTTAACGTGGTCTCATGGTGTGTATCAAAACTTTCCTCTATCCTCTACCTACTTATAAGGCTTATTAGGACATCAGCAACAAATTGCGCTCGTATCCACAACTTGATGCTCTCACCGATGTCATATTCGTTGCTGATGCCTGAAGACTGGCCTGTGAAGTTGCCCCTTGATGTGGACAAGGTGTGGGACGCTTTCTTCCTCTATTCATTGCTCTTGGATCATGACGAGAGGCACACTTGTCTCGAGCTTCGTCATGATGCACCGAGTCAATGGGAGCGTCTCAGACCTGCCGTCCGCGCCCGCAATCTTGCTATGGCTGGCCCAGGACAGCCAGAATGGAACCATGCTTGCGATCTCTGCTGTTGGGTTTCCGAAGATGAAGAGGGACAACTCTGTAAGTAAGGTTTATTTGTTGATTTAGCTGAGCTGCTCACATCGAGAGATAGGGGCGGTCAGATCTGTTGTTACAGATGGGGTTAGTATTGGTCATCCCTGTTGTGCTGTACACGACTGCCAAGAGCCGTTGATGCCCATGAAGGGTGCCCGATATTGTCGGTTACATGCTGGATATGAGACCAAATGCGCTGTGATATCTTGCGACAAGGCTGCCGAGGTAGGCTTTGCAACCTGCGCTACGAAGGAGCACCGCGAAATGGAGAAGCACAAGACACAGGCTGGGAAAGCAATGTTCCAGCTCAAGCGTCGACTCGAGCGCCTTCACGTCTCACAGACCCATGATTCCTTATCGACTTCTGCACCAGTGGACGATCCTCTGTATTCTCTCGACGTCGAAGGCACTGGCACAGCTGATGAAGAAGCTACTATCGATAGCGAGGATGTACCAGCTTTGTGTAATGGGAAGCCCCCCACGGGTAACCGCAAGTATAAGGCCCAGTTCGGTAGAAGACGTACACATAACGAGGAACTGTGTGTTACTTCGTGTGGTGTCATTATCGGGCGCGCTACGTTCTTTGGTTCAGAGGCACCTAATGGTGTTCGTGTGAGTAGTCGCTCAACTAGCTACTCCACACTGCTCACATCTATTATAGGTATTCTTGATGAAGCTTTTCCCGAAAAAGCGATCTCTTCCGCAAGTATTATGGCATGATAATAACTGCCAAATACAAGCTATGCTCGCTAATGATCCAGAGGACTTACAGAAATACTTTGAATATTGTGCGATGCCAGTTGATGTCTTCCACTTCAAGTCCAAGCATAGAGAGAGCGATATTGCTTGCAACGCGTACTGCAATCCCTATATCTGGGAGGATCTGCGAACAGAGGAGGGTACCTGGCGCTTCAATTCCTCCGCTGCTGAACAGGCGAATGCGTGGTTTGGAGGCTATCAGTCCATGGTCAGGGAGATGGATGTTGATAGGTATAACTTCTTCTTAGACGAGATGATCAAGAGGCGCAACCGGCTCGTGATAGCAGAGCTGGATCGTAGGGGGCGTCGGCCTTACAACATCCCTAGGGAGGATCTCTTATCAGACTAGGTGGTTTTTCAGAAGCATATTTTCTAGTCTACAGAGGAAAATCTATTGTAGCTGTCTAGGGTCATCAAGTGTCGTGAAGTTCGTAATGTCATCAAGTTCATAATGTCGTAAACTACTTTAAGCAGCCATTCATACAGAATCATACCCTTCTAGTCCGAATCAATCTCAAAGACAGTACGACCCCCATCATTTACCATCTGGAAACCGTCCATATGACCTGCGAATAGAGGCAAGTCCGTGCCTGCCAAAGTCAAGTTGATTTCAGCTTGTTCGACCTTGACTTCCTGAGATGATCCAGTACTTGCATTGCCAACACCTGCATTGCTTGCGTCCGAGCCCGACGAGCCATCGGTGCTGACCTCCGGGGTTTGACCAAGCACTGCAAACTGGGATTCTTCAATCTCTCTATTGATTTTCCCGACAACATGAGAGATAGAGCGCTGCAGCCGGTTGACGTGAGGGTCATCCCCAGTACCCGGGTGTGCAAAGCTCCCGAAACGCATGCTCTCCTGTAAAACAACAATTGCGGTCTCCCAGTCGACTGAGAGATCCTCTTGGATGAGACGAACGGTGACCTCCGGGATCAGGACATCGGTGATCAGAGCATTGTAGCTCAATGGCCGGACATGGGACAGATCTGTGGGGCCGTCAGGTATCATCTGCTCGAGTGTCATCTGTATGATAATCCTCCCTGTACCTCCGTAGCTAGAAAGGGATAAATCTGTAAACTCAGTGCATCAAGGAGTAGTACTGCAATACTCACTAGCCAGCACTGTGTCCTTTAAACCGAACGTACTGAGCACCCAAGGACTCGACCTGGAGGCTGCTGGAACCAGGGGTGTAGAGCATCCGGGTCTCATTGAAGAACAGACTTCGCTTGGGGTCAGAGATGATGCTCAGCACGACCGCATGAAGGTTCCAAATACGGTCCCAAAGTGACGCAAAGTCAGGCTTCATAGGCCAACCATTAGCAAGAGCATTGGGAAGCTCCTCAGCTTCCCATCGGTGTAGCTCGCAGAAATCAGAGTACACGCGGAAGGATTCTGCGCGTCGGTGATTTGGGTTCACTGGAGATGGATCAGGCCAGGTGATCCTCTCGAGACTTTGCTGCATCTTCTCCATCCGAGCGCTCGGACTGAACAAAAGCTTCTCGTCGCAAAAAGGACAGCGCAGAGCGTCCACATCACCATCTATATGGTCCAGTGGAGCACAACTGGTAAGCAGACTTATATAGATTACCGACCAATACTCATGACGAACCTGAGTCCGAGCTCAAATCAGCTGTTTCAGGCACACGAATGCTTGCCTCTGGAGCTTGAGGCGTAGTGTCCTTGTCCGGGGTTATGACTCTGGCTTTGCCTTTATTGGACTTCAGAGCTGGAGTCCACGAGATTGAAGAATCACTCTCTGACGAGCTGTCCGATGAAGCGTCCGACACTAGATCAGACACCAAGGTCTTCAGTGCTCTCAGGAATTTCTTCCATTTCCCAGCACTCTGTCGGCCGTGGTCCAGGAAACAATGCCGAAGATCTTGTGGTACTTGATCACTGTTCCATAGGTTCTTGTATTTATTATACGTGGTCTTTGCCATGCATACACCAAACACCTTTTTGAAAGAGACCTTATAGGGCGTCTTGCGAGACTCTTTCAGTTGTTCCGTCTTCCGAAGTCCCTCATCGATCTCAATCACATAAAAGTCGTGAGGCCATGACCGGTCCTTCTTGGGGAGACCGAGTGGGAACGGAGCTGGCGCACGACTCCGCTTCGCAACCGCAGGTACCACCTTTTTCTTGATGGTATTGTAGCTTGATCGATCTTCGGTATTACCTTGCACTGGCAGAGATGGCGGCGAGATGAAGATATGATGGTGCTTGTCTGTACGATCTAGTTCATGAAGGGCAATTGACACCGGCGTTGTCTTCGGCACCTTCCGGGATGACGGGACAGCCGAAGAGGGACTGGTGTGCCGCTTGATGCCATTCGTCCTTCCACACTGCTCCTCCATCTCGTCTTCAATCTGAGGGCAGTTTGTGAGGATCGTACGTACATCTGGGCGGAGGCGGAGCAAAGTCGAATGGCTTGTCTCCACGGTGATAACAGTCCGGATATCTATTGTCAACCATTTCCTCTGACGAGCATCCCATTTATCGATAAGTGATGTCGGAGTGAGCATGAAAGGAACGAGGAATTCAGGCCCAAAGGATTCAAGCATGACCTTCGGATAGGTCTCGACATGACGGTGGAGCCGGAGGGGCTCAACTCCGTTCTAATGCAAAGCTACATTAGTAAAGACACGGAAATAATCCTAGGTGACTCACCTCGAACCAAATAATAAATGTAACTGTCTTCTTCGACGCTTCAACCATGTCCTCATTTCTTGACTTATTGCTCTTCGCTTTGACTTGGTCATCTCGGGCGCTATTATACTCTTGCGCCCATAGACGCGATACCGGTGTTGCAAGGCTATGTTCATGACGGTTCCCGGGAGCACGCCGAGATCCTTGGGTAGAGGAGACTCGCAACACATGGTCAAGGTCACCGACCCGTTGTGTGCGTGCCGCCGGTTGCACCTGCCCCTGCTGTGATCCGTTAGTCGAAGCTGTCCGGCTTCAAGTTTGGACATTCGAGTTGGAGTGTTGCACAGCCGCAACCCGGGATACACCTAGTGCCAGAGCGCCAATACCCTGAGACCGTCCAGCCTGGGAGGATTGCGATTGCCGCGGCTGCAACCCTTCGAATACACCGCTCGGGGTTTGTGTATTCAGACCACTCCCTGCCAGATATTGTGGCGTATATGATGGACTAGGGGGCAGAGGATTGAGCGGGTAGGTTAACGGGGGTGGTGTGGGTCGTCTCTGCTGCTGCTGCACTCGATTAGAAGTGGGAGAAGTCGAAAGTCTTGCTACATCGCGTGGGATGTCGCAAGACAGCACAGCGTGAGCGATGCAGTGGGCTCGCAAGACACCGCGCGCTTCGGCAGAGGCCCGCGAGCGTACACAACACCCTTTGCACAGGCGCTCAATGCACTGTCTATGGCCCCTCGTCCTTGTTCCTGTTCTGGAGCAGCAGTTGGGCGTAGAGCAATCAATCGCGCCAGGCGAAAGTCGAGGAAGAGCAGAAACGGGTGGAGCGGGACGTAGAATATGATCCTTACGGAGCTTCCTGGTGTCGTACGTCGGGAATCTTCGCAAGAGATTCAGGCGGGATGCAAGGAGCTCTGCATCATCCCACGCGTATGCTTGTGAGGTTAGGAAAAACGTGTAATGACAGACTTGTACGTTCGTGCACTGAATATGGGCATAATTTAGTCGTAAAATTGCAGGAGAGTGGCAAAAATATGCTTACCGACTGGCACATACGGCCTCGATCTGCTGCTCGGTCACCGGAGCCAGCGAAGGGACGGATGTTGCCCATGACAGCCTGGCACTCTGGGCATTGATCGAGAGGTTGGACAATAGGATCAGGGAGGTTGTACTCGGAGTATTGGCTCATCTAAAAGAAATACCAAGTAGAAGACTTTGGAGCACTGTGCTGTTGAGAGGTGATTGGAATGGGGACTGTCGAAATGGAGTCTCTCAACCGTCTTTATAGCTTGTTGTGCCACTCGAGGCATGCTTAGACCCAAGTCAGACATTCCTGCAACGGTGCCACCTGATGGCGAAGGGTAGTATTGAACAAAAGAGTCGGCCAAAGCGTCGGGTAAAGCGTCGGGCGCTGTGGCGGCGGATGCTTGGTACAGACGCGACTACATTCCCGCTACCGTAGGTAGTGGGTCTTGGACCCCCCGGCCGTTCGCAGGTTTCCTGCGATCGTTTCAAGATCTACGCGATCTATTTGACACTATTTGGCTCTTAACCGTATATGGCGGACGGCAGGGCCGGCACACGGCTTTGGACCAATCAAAGATGGGGTCCTCAAAGGACCCCGATAGTAGGGCCACGTGGCATCTCTCTTTCCATTTTTAGCCAAGGTGGCGGATAGCTGGTCAAGGGACTGAAGAGAACAGGCATGACCTAGCTTGGGGCGTTGGAGATGCGGTCTCCAGGTGAAAGCAGCATACTTCAATGTCAGCTGTTTTACATAAATGACTTGTATACTCAGAACCTGAGGGAGGAGTGAGTGGACATCTCTTCAAATCGTTGAGGTGAATGCTCAGTCGGAAATAATGGCTGGAACACAACTGCTTTCGCAAAATAAATATATTAGTATATGATGCTGCTCAGGATGTCAAGTTCTCAGCTTGCTACCAAATCTTATCTATGTCTACGGTAGCGGGCTCTGCCGCTCGCACGGCCCTACCGCCTTATATGACGTCGGCGTGCGCAGGACGCGTCAGGCATCAGGTGATAATTACCGCGTTCTACACGTGAGGACCTCACGTGTATTGAGCGTTCGCGGCCGGGGTTCGCGAACGCGTTCGGCGGCGTCACCTCCCAGTGGGGTCGACTTTCTGTCACATCTGGAAGACTGGAACGCTTGTGGTCACACTCACGTGAATAGGCGTCACCCAAAAGTTGTGTCACACTAGCTCGACTCCGAGTCCCTGGCTTTGTTGCTCGGTGGCATCGGTCATTCATTATCGCGAAACCTTGCGTACGTCTGACATGGTCAGCATTACCGTCAGTGCTGCCGGGAAGCCGCTTTCTGTCGCAAGGGGTCTCCCAGTGGATCTCGATATTCCAAACAAGAATGCCGAAGATGTTACTGTGGCAGATATCAAGCAAGCCCTGGCCGCCAAGTTCCCGAAGGTGCCTCCAATGCGCTCAATCATAGCATCGATACTGACGTTATTTAAGCTCTATGCGTTCAGGCAAAAGATTACCCTGAAGGGCCAAACCAAAATGCTCTCTGATGACATGAAAATCGCCGAGGCTGCAGGGGGCCCAGTGAATGAAGTGAGCGTGAAGGACCTGGGACCTCAGATCAGTTGGCGCACGGTCTTCTTGGTGGAATATGTGAGAACACTCAGTATTGTATAATGGATGCCTCTGCTCATCGCATGATGCGTTAGGCGGGTCCTATGGTGATACATCCCCTTATTTATCATTTACCCCGACTTTTCTATGGTGGACCTGTCCAGCACAGTCTGCTACAACAGTGAGTACTGTGTTCTTGGGCCTAAAACTCTCACTAAGCCAGGTCAGATATGTATATGGTCTCGTCATGTTGCACTTCGCCAAGCGTGAATTGGAGACGTTATTGTAAGTAGCGTCGCGCGTCCTTCGTTGACCAGGTCTGAAGTAGGCTGGTACGCCAGCGTGCACCGATTCTCGCATGATACGATGCCTGCTCGCAACATCTTGAAGAAGTGGGTCTCGTACCTTTCAGTTATGAATCTTCCTGACTGTCGTTTGCAATTTGCAGCTCAGCGCATTATCATCTCTTGAGCGGTTAGTTAAAACTATTCTCGTATAACTGGAATTAAGACTGAAGTGTGGCGCAAAAGGCCTTGCGCTCGCATACGCGATATATAGCCCTACATACTCAGCAGCATCTCCGTACATTCGGGGGACTATTCGAGATGACCTCCGCTTCATATGGGGCTGCACGGCTCTGTGGCTCGTAAGTGACATACGTCCGCTACCATTACACCGACGTCTTGATACTCATCGACACAGTTCTCTGAGCTCTCCAACTTGAGCACCCACTTGACTCTGCGCAATCTGCGTCCTCCTGGCACCCGCCAGCGAGCCATCCCTTACGGATACGGGTTCAACCTGGTTTCCTGTCCGAATTACTTCTTCGAATGCCTGGCGTGGACAAGTGTCGCCGCGATGACGGGCAGCTGGGTCGGTGAGTGATAATGGCGCCGTTTGTCTTGTAGATCTTCCCTATTGAGCGCCTGCTGTAGCATGGATCTTCGTCCTCGTGTCCACGGGGCAGATGGCGCAATGGGCAATCAAGAAACATAGAGGCTATAGGAAAGAGTTTGGTGACAAATACCCGAGGGGGAGGAAGGTTATGTTCCCCTTCGTCTTCTAAGGATTGATCGGCGCGGCTTACGTATCTACACTATTTCATTGCTGTAATCATATAAGTACTGATTTCCGCTATTCCGGACCGGTCGGGAGTTGTGAAGTTGTCTCCTACAATCAGGGTAGGAGCAGGTCTGAGGGCCTGAGCGCTGCTTTCGTGAACGATGCCGACGTCGACGTTCCGTTAGCATTATTCGGGGTGGGGACTCTGCACTTTGGGATTATGGCCACGGCAGGATGAAGACGCTGTGTTCAATTCAAACTTTAGGATAGCAGCCACCTTCGATACGAAAATAGGCAATCAGCGACCCCAACGTCTTCTCCATACAAGATCTCAAGAAGAGGGCCTTGTGGAATACCTGGGCAGAGCTGGAGCCATGGATGCATGTCAGCTGACGGGGAAGGTGAGATGTCGACTTCAAGGTCCGCGAAGTTTGTATGCTCGCGCCCTCCACGCGTCTGCCTCACCGGTCTTGGGCAATACGACCCCTCGAAAAAGCAATCCCACGACTTGCTGACTAAGACAAGTCAGCACTGTTGGATTTATACCCCCTTGTGGTGGCACAGGCGTCTTCCGTGTGGCCTAGCGGGTCTGCGTTGCGGCTGAGGCTTGTGGATCTGGGTTCAAATCCTGACGCCTGCATTTTTTGTTGGTTTGTACCAATGTTCTACCTACTTCCTGTATGTTTTTTCTTCGCACTGCGGAGGGGTGGTTAGGAAGTTTGGGTTAGGGTAGGTTAGGGTAAGTGGGGGGTCCGGGGGGAACCCCCCGGTTGGTTAAGGTTCGGGTTAGGGTGAGGTGGTTAGGGTATGGTTTACAGGATATCGATAAAGGGGGGGTCCGGGGGGAACGCCCCGGGTTGGTTAAGGTCTGGGTTTTCATATAAAATATGCTCTGGGAGTGATTTGATATGCTAGGACTGTCTCCTAGCGTCGGGAACAGTGACAGCCACGACGCTTGCCATATTTGTAGTGCTTTGTCAGCTTATTCGTGGG